TATATTCCGTAAAATACGGTAGCCATTCTTCTATTTCCCCCATATCTTGTCTCTTTCATCCCATCTTCAACAAGTCTGTCTTACTAGACTATGAACCTCGTACCGTTGCGAAGATCAGGTATCTGTGTGGTTGTTTCACCCTTGGAATACCACAACAGTAGGTGAACGTTTAGGAATAAGATTATTCCCTCAACAGCGTAAAACTAAAATTGAAGCAATAGTAAAAATTGCGAATAAAAATTATTTCTTTGATTATCATATTTGGTTTTTATTATTCTTCAATGAAATTGGATGTAGTTTGTATATACATATATGTAGCTATTAATTAAAAACTCTTTATTCAAGAAAAACATTCTTTATTTCAAGAACACAGATCTTTTAAGATTATTTTTAAGCATTATTTATTTATACATGACATACTTGAGTAAGAGATGTTTACATAATATATTCACACAGTTTTATAAAGTTGCTGATTTTGTTTGAGTTTAGGAGCATTAACAAAATCGTCTTGAGAACGATAAAAATGTTTTATAAATAGCTCAATCAATTGTTAGTTTTTAAACTTGAATATTTGCTTCAGAGATTAATATAACTAGTCTTTAAGTCAGAAAAAGTTAGAGTAAACGCCGATTAGTCTCTATGCTAACCTTTTAATTAACGAAAGCTGATTAATATCAATACTTACCTTTTACTTAAGAAAAAAAAATACTGTATGGGTCAAATCTGGTGCTAGTTTTCTTGAAATGATAACATTCTCTTAATTATGTCAATTTGTCTGAAAGGTTACTGTAGTAGGAACAGTGGTGAAAGAAGACATCAAAGCAGAAGATGATGACCAACCCGGGCCATATAGTACTGTGGAATATTTTGTGGAGCCTGGACCATATTCTGTAAGTCATGCTAGAACTGCTAAGAATAGTCTGGACCATATTCTGTAAGTCATACTAGAACTGCTAAGAATAGCCTGGATCATATTCTGTAAGTCATACTAGAACTACTAAGAATAGCCTGAACCATATTATGTAAGTCATACTAGAACTACTAAGAATAATTCTAGCATGACTTACAGAATATGGTCCAGGCTGCTAAGAATAAAACATTTTTATATCCAAAAAAATTTCATGTTATCCATTCTCATCTTGAAATGGCTGAAAGGAATCACACCTGTTATAAAACTCGTGTCCAAACCAGATTCTAATAGTTCCCTCTCGTGTTGTACAAATATTTTATTTTTGTCTTTATTAGTAAAACATCTGTTTGTATAGCTCTACACATTAGGCATTTTTAATAACATTGGTCTAACTCGAACTTATATTTCCGGTTCTGAAACATCCTATATTTCACTCAGCAGGGATGACGATTACACTGAGTTTCCACGAGTCATTAAATTATTGAAGATGTTTAATGGTATTATCGTCTGTACTCTGTGATTATTTCTTTAAAAAACTTTTTCTTCTAAACACTTTTCAATCGACTACCATCCCTTCATTTCTTGGCAGATTGAGTTGAAACTTGGTAGGGCCAGACACCTTTTTAATTTTTTTTACTTAGACTTTTATAAGCAATTTATGTGGTCTAAAGTTGAACAACCCAAAATGTATATATTTTGGGCTTCTGTGGAGTCATATTTACAGCAATCAAAACGAAAATTAACATAAATTTTCATGCGCTTAACACATTGATATAAAAAAGTTGGATTTGCCATTTTGAATCTTTTTTTTTTTGTTAATTTATGTTTTTAATTTACAACGGAGTCTTGCAGTAAAAGCTTCCAATACGGGGTTTGAACGGTGGTATCAGATACCTGCATATTGTAAAAGTAGATTCTTAAGTTTTATCATAAAATTTTAAATCATTTACATGTACTTAATTTCAGTTTTCTACACTATATTAGCACTTGCTGAGCTTCGAGAGTCGTCTGGATGGAAAGCTAGTATTGAAAGCATCATTAGATTATGAAACACTTCCTCGTTTTTCTGTCACTATTCGAGCTCATGTGAGTATTTGTTTCATCAAACATCAAAATTGTTTCTTTTTTACATTTTATATTGTCAATAACACTGAAAGAATTAACCTTAATCTTTTTAATTTTCTCAAAAGGATTTTAAGTTTGTTTTTTTCGCTATATTTAAGATCCTGGGAAATTATAATTTTATGAAACCGTTTAAGTTTATAATTACACTTTCTTCACTGTTTTATAGGCAATACGAATCATAAAAATTGGTGTAATTTAACTTCGTAAGTTCCGTTACGATATATGTCTTTCCTTATACAAGTCAATACTATCTAGAAACTGTATTTATCGACTTTGAATCCTATAGGATCAAGGTGATCCGCCAAGAAGTGTTATGACCAGACTAACTGTCAATGTTGTAGACGCAGATGACCAGAACCCGATATTCCTAGTGGATAAGTACACCGCAATATTACCCAACTCCCCTCAATCAGTAAGTGTTACAGTAGAATTGCTAATATTTCACCACTTCCTTTTTTTATCTGGATTCATATATATATATATTAGTTTTTTCGAAAATATAACACAGTCACTTTAATATCGATCCTAACGCACTCGTGGTAAGCTGCTGACAATCAAGATTTAAGTGTTTAGTTCTCAACTTTAAGTAATTAAAAGTTTGTATGAGACTAAATATACTATGTAAGAAAATTAGAGGTGGATCAGATTCATATTTTAATTCTAACCTTAAATATATATTAACAACAAACTAGATCCAATACTTTTTGGTTATATATTCCTTTTCCAATATACATCACACGTATAACTTTGCTATATTGTACGTTTGGACTCAATAACTGGAACGTCGTTATGATGTTTTGTAATAGATTGTTTTAAATAAATGTTTTTCTTAGGACTAGTATATAAAGTTTTTTTTAAAACAGCATTTGTCTATATATATATATGTTATGACATGATTATAGAAGAATGTTAATTATATTACCCAACCTGGCCTAAAACAACTTATACAGAGGGTCGATTACGTTATGTTAAAACAATTTTGAGTATGCAAATCAGCATGTTACCTGGCAACCACAATCTACATAAAGTCGCGGTGGAACGACATGTACCGAGCTTTACATTTTGGCATTGTTTCTCATTTCGTAGATAGTGTGATACCATCAAAAATTAACCACTATTTGGAAAGGTATGTAACAGCCTTTTCTGACACAAAACATTCAGGCCCTCAGATTATAAAGTTGTGTTCAGTTGGGATGTTTGGCCTTTCCAAGACGAGGATATACATAGAATTTAACGATATTTTAAGAAAAGGAATATGGATCAACTTGAGACACCAGGGCCATCCAGAAAGAGACCTGCAACAAGTCGTACTCCATTTATGGTGATCAAAATGCAGCATCTTGTAACAGGTTAGAATCAATGAACTCTAATATCAGTAGCAAAAGCTGTACACTTATCCCAGTAAACACAACGAAACATAATTAAGAATAATCTTTGGCTAGAAAAGTGACACAAGTCAGGTGTACACAAGTTGATTCCACGACATATCCGTTGAACCGTCGTATACCTCAAGTAGCTGGAGAATGAAACAGGTATTCATGCTATTCCGTATAAAGACATATCGGTCAAATCATCGAACGCAGCTCTTGTGATTTCTGTTCAAGTAGTTGAAACAGGTGCAGGAAACTATCGTTCTCGTACACTAGATAGATGGCTTATGGGAAGCATTCCGGTAGGAGGTGCGTAATTTGGATATGACATTCTTTCAACGGAGACTTTTTTAATGGAAACTCGGCTAATGTAAACGTACAACATTGGCACCATTCACGTTTCTGTCTTAAGCATTAGAATTATGTAAGGCTACAGGTTTGGTTTAGTTTGTTATGAATTTTGCGTAAAGCTACACGAGGGCTATCTGCGCTAGCCATCCCTAATTTAGCAATGTAAGACTAGAGGGAAGGCAGCTAGTCATCACCACCAACCGCCAACGAATAGTGGGATTGACCGTCACATTATAATGCCAACGGCTGAAAGGGCGAGCATGTTTGGTGTGACGGGGATTCGAACCCGCGACCCGCAGATTGCTAGTCCTAACAACTTGGCCATGCCGGACCTAGACTACAGGTACAAGCCTCCACAAGTATGTAACATAGACAATAGTGTAAAAAGTTATGACCAACCTATTTTTATAATGTTTGACTATATGAAGGTATAGCTTGCATTCTTGAAGTTTGGTGTTATGAAAAAATTACTTCAGACCACGTTCGTGCTAAAAAGAAACTGGGATATTTTCATTAAGCCTTTCTATTTTCGTGATGTATCTTGTATTTCGCTGGAATCTAAAAATACGTGAAATAATTTCGATTTCAGTAGACTTGCTTGTTTTTTTTAAAAAAGAGAAATGTACAAATATTTTATTACTTAAACTAGATTACGTAATAAATGTTCAAATGGCACAGGAGTAACCTCTTTATGCGTGGTTCATCAGTTGATTTGTTCCTATTTAGAAATTTGTTTCAAGAAAATTTATCAAAATAAAGAACGTGTTTGAACAATAAAAGAAGCTAAATTTAAAGTGAGGTGACTCAATATTACAGTTTTTTAAAATGTATCTTTCTTCTCTTTTGTTATTCATTTAGGACTTAGAGTTAGTTATTTCTCCGGAGCCAGTTCTGGCTGAAGATCCAGATGTTGGAATTGGATCCCCTTTACGCTATACTTTCAACTCTGGTAAGTACAGTTGTTAAAAGTTATATAGTATAAATGTTGTTTATAGGTTTGTACGCTTCTATGTAATGATAAGAATTAAACTACAACATGCAGGCAAAACTTTATGCTAGTATCAACTTCCACCACTTCTTTTGCAACTGATTACATATAATAACAGGTTATTAAATGACCCCTCATTGATTTTGTTGATATACCTTACCTACCTAAAACAAACAATGCTCTCTTTTGCGTCGTTCATTTATATGCTGCTATGTAGAGTACGCATCTAGTATATCCATATATATCCCAAAATAATCATTTCAATGGGTTCTTTCTTTCAGATGCATTGTATGTATTCTCTAAAACTACTAAAATCGGAACTTTTAACCAGAACGGATCCTCATGCGCACGTGTGTTTAGAGATCCTAATTTTGGACTACTGGGCAGAGGGAAAGCAGCCAACCAAATACACCTGCAGACAAGAGAAGTTTGTCTTTCCCTTTTAACACGCTAACGATTGAGTGTTACTCTTATAACACACCCGCAGCTAAAGGTGTAGAGAGTGTTAACTGGTATCACGACTCGAGCCTTAAACTTTTTGTTTTGAAGCTCACCTGGTTAACTATTAGGCTACGCCCTATTTAAAACTCAAATAACCGCTGTAACGTCGTTATTTGGTTTTTAATTACACAAAACCCAAAATAATATTTACCACATACCCTTCAGTTTTGCGTTACTGTGCCAAAGGTGGATCAGCGGGATTCTTGAGAGTTTATAACGCTAAAATTCAGGATTAGGTCATTGCGGTTGGCACAACTTAGACAGTCCATTGTGTAGCTTTGCACTTAAAACCAAACAGATAACAATTCAGGTTGTTGTAAAGTTAATTAAAGTATCGCAGTTGAACATTGTACTCCTTACCTTCCACAGCGGGTTTCAAGAAAAGTTTGTTCATTGTAAATCGCTGCTGAAGATGTACTGTACTAAATGTATACTTTAATTTTGAGCTGTTGAGTAGTCACAGTCATAAAGAAAATATAAAGTAGATGGCACGTGTTAGGAATGTTGATACAGTAACAGTAATTACAGAAAATTGTAATAACATTTTCTGTACAAAGCAGTTAGTCGAGAATTAGTGGAGTTTTTCTTTTTGTTGTATGTAACAGAAAGATGTATAGAGTTAAATAGAAAGCCATTTCGAGATAACGTATACCGAAAGACAAATCTAAAACAACTTGTTGAACATTACAGATTTTCATTTGAAACTCATTGTGAGTTGAATTTCTTTTATGTTGTTTTTCTTTTCTTTGGCTTTTATTTAGGCATTTTGGGCAGTCTTGTAATATTCCATTTTTTTCCGTGTGCAAATGTTTTTACTCGAATTGTTGAATAAAATACAATAAGATAATTTTAGAAATAATAAAATCAACTTGTTTCAGAAGAATCAATTACGATTTAAAATTAAGTTGTGCGATTTATCTTTAAACAGATTCTGAGGAGTATACGTACTTCAACCTTGACCCTGTGTCGGCAAAGGTCACCATCAAAAGGCCGATCCCACAGAATTTTCCTCTACCGGTGACTCTTGTTATTCGCGCTTCTCAACTAAATGAGAAAGACAGATTTACCCTGACCACTCTGACTATTAGAACAGATCATCCTCTACCAACAGTTTTAAAGTTTCTCCAGACTGATTATGTCACAACAGTTTTGGAAAACACGCCCCCTGGTGTAGTGATTTTGACTGTCCAAACGTCTAAGTTTGTGGACACGGTGAGATTGGATAATTGTTTCATATAGTTCCTTGTGAAAATACATTCATACTAAAATATTTACTTATTCTTCATTTGTTATCTATTGACTTGTACTGACATTTTGTTTCTCAATCTTAGTTTAGTTGAAATGTGTATTTACGTGTACATTTTTTCGTTTTGTATCAAATTCATTAGTTTTTAGAAGATTTAGTCTGTACAGTAGTTAACAGATTTACAAACATGTCATCAATGTTTTTTCGACAGCAAAGCCTTAAAAAGATGCTAATTCGTTTAAATATAATTATTCCTATATTTAAAACAGTAATTTTAAAAATGTGCTCCCTACAAGTAAATAAGGAATAGAGATAAGGATGTAGGTGTTTTCATTCTGATAATAGATTCCTGTGATTAAAACATGAGTTACAACCTAAACATTATTATTATCTTTAACTATGTATTGTTTCCCCATTAATATGTATACTTACATATAAATTATGAATATTTAATTTGAATGGTGTAAAAAAATTGTATATCCCTTAAGTATTCCACTGAAGTATAAATAACAGAATTTTTTTTTATGAAATTAATTCATAAAAAGCAGAATATAGCCTAACAGTAAAACGTATAAAAAATCAAAGTATATGACATTTTTTGAAGTTGTGAAAAGTCTTTATTTCTAATTTAATAAGAACATTTACCAATTACTGAATGAATACCAGCATCTCATACGAGCAGCAATAACGTTTCTAGTTTCTTGTTTATTTTGTCTTTGCAGAATATCCGATACCAGTTGCTAGATGACGTTTCGGAACAGTTTGCTATCAGAAGTTCGTAAGTAAGCATTGTAACCATGAATGTATTTAAAATGAACGCAAAGTTATTTTGAGAAGGTGAAATAACATCTTATATTAAATAGTATTTGTTGTTTTTATCAAAATATAAAATAAAACAGTGTCCTAAAATCGTATCTATATCTATCAATTTCTAGTATTTTATAGCAGTGTTTTTATAAAGTACCCAGTCCTGCTCGGAAAGTACAGAAAGATGCAACTTCTTGATCACTGCAAAAATAAAAAAAGGCTCGACTACTTAGTACGTGAAAGGACAATTATAGAGATTTGTATCTAGATAAATGAAAAGCATTTTGTATAAGAACAAGTGCAATAAAACACATGCTTTATTAAAGCAGGTATACAGAGCAGATGAAGATACAAGCAGACCGTAATGAGATAGAGCAGCGTTTTCCAAACTATGGGTCGCAAGCGGAATGTTAGTGGGTCGTAAAAAGTTATACTAGAATTACGCATTAGCTTCGATTAAACGCTGTCTCGAGATAGTTCAAGACTCGGGCTTTCATTGCCAGGCTGTTGTTGTATCAAGCAGTATGTTGTTTTGACGAGCTTAACGAATCAGGGTTGATCATGCTCTCAATTTAATCATTCGTCATCGTAAAAAGGAAATTAATTTTCACCTATTCATACAGTACTTTAGCTATAGTACCGGTTTTATCAGTTGATTGCAGAATTTTAACTTTTGGAAGGTAAAAGCGATTTTGCGAGATATTTGCGCAACGAGGAATTTGTTCTGAGGCTCACGTATTTGGCAGATATTTTTTCAAAACTAAACGAACTGAATTTGTACTTGCAAGGAGCAGAAGGTATCAGTATATTCGCAGTTCATGAGAAAATTCGAGGTTTCATGAAAAAACTTGTTC